GACCCCGCTTACCATTCTGCAAAGCGATTATCTTCTGGTGCTGCTGCTCTGTTAAGGCTGTCAGTGCTTTCAAGTGCTTCAAAGTCAGTTCCAGCACCACCGCTTTCTCCAGGTGTCCCAGCGTCTGCAAAGGCAAGGGTAGGGGGCGGCTTGGCTACCTCCCGGCACGTTTTGGCTACCGCCAAATGCGGCCTCCGTCAACTTGGGTGAGACCGGCCCCCGAGGCATTAGGGCCAGGACAGCAGGCGGGCAGCAGTCGGGCAGCCCGGCGTGCCGGGGATGCGCAGCGGGCAGGCTGGCGGCGCCTGCATCCGCACGGGCACACACGCTCCTGGGCACCTTACCGTTAGTTTCAGATGCTCGGGCAATAAATCCTTCAGCTGGGCAATGCATTCGTTAATCCTGTCTCGCCTCTTCTTTTCTATCAGTCTATGTGGCAGTTTGTACGTTTCCTAATTAGCAAAACCCGGAAAAGCCAAGTGTTAGGCAGAGTCCCTCGGAACGCCGATCAAAACCAAAACAAATGTCATGCGGACCACATGCCGCGCAAATTATCGTCAAGGCACCGCTCTCCCCGCCGTGCCAGCTCGCTCGTAAACCCACTTGTGATTCGGGGGGCAAGTTGTATGCGCAGCCCCCCGGGGATGCTCTTGAGAGCGAAGCTACTCTGCAAAATTCAGCGAGCCCAAATTAAGCGGTTAAGCGAGAAGAGAGCCCCAGAAACTTATCCTTACCTTGCTCTCGTCCCTCTTCACTCCTCTTTTGGGTTTGCACATATACAGGGCAGGGTAGTCCAGCCTGGAGAAAAACACAAATATCCAGCATGGGCAAGTGCAGCGATAGCTTGCCTAGCACCTCCTCGAGTGGGCACACGGGCGCCCAGCGCTCTGCCCGAAGGGCCGGGCAAGGGCTCGCCCGGCTCCGCCAGCGGAGGGAGGCGGCGAGCCCCGCGCCCCGCCGGGGAGCCGGCGCCGCTCCCAGCGCTTCGCAGCACTTTCTCAAGAAGACGAAACGCCGTAGAGATACGAGACGGAGATAGTGCCCCGGCGCCTTACCCTATAAAATCCCTATGCTCCAGTAGCTGCCTCTCCGGCAAGCGGGAGATTCCTTCATCCATGTCTGGCAGCGGCTGATGTTTCGTCGCTGCTTTTGACTGAGCCTGCGGGATGCTGAGATCAGTCTCGGGAGATCCGCGAGCGACGCTGCGCACATGCAGCCTCCGTCCCCCCTCTCCCGTGCAGTGGCCAAAAGTGTGCGGCGGTTCGTCCCCCC